ATCGACTCAGAGGACAGTACCAGGGGCTCAGCCAAGACCCCAACAGCCTTTCCAACCTCGACCAGGTCTGACGCTCTCTTCACTCACTGTCTGCATTCGTGTTTTTATGTACACGTGGCATCAGAGCCACGTGTTTTATGTAAAACAGCCATATGTTTTTAGATTGATTGAACACTCTTCTCCAGTTTTTCAGTGAAGACTTTAGAGCAGCCTCGCGTTAGCGTGCGTCTGTTCCTTGTCGCCGCTCGTGTTTACTCGTCATGTTCTGCTCTGCTTCTGATTTCACGACAGCGCATCGCTGGTTTTATGATTGCGGCATTGTTCAGCAGCTTTTACATTTCAGGCTCTGATGTCCTTGAGCACAGCGACAGGACAAACTGTAGTCTGTGATTGCAACTTGATTACTACGCAGCTGAAAGAAAACATAAAGACAGCCAACTGTGAAAGTACACAGGGGAAGCAGATGCTGCTTCTAATGCTTGTTTGTACATGATGGTTCAACCTTCCTAACAATAGTTTTCCCTTCTCTGCTTTTAGTTAAGCTCTGCACTTTTTCTCACTAGTTTGTTTGTTTATATGATTTGATTTTTTTCCAGGATCTTCCAAACAACATGATCCACCAGGTGCCCATAAAGTCTCTACCTCAGGAGTGGCTGTGGTGTGAGACCTGGTGTGATGACAGCTCCAAGAAGAGCGCCAAAACAATAGATCTGGTAAAGAATGCTTCTTTTTATTTAACTGTTTTCTGTACAGTTTGTCAGAGTTACAGAGGATTGATGGCAGTTTTCTAAAGATTCCCATGTATCCTAACAGCCACTAGAGGGCAGGCAGGCTTAAGAATGAGTTCACATTAAAAATAAGACCACCTTCTTCTTCCACCACAGCAGATCATCTGCTTCCATCTCACCCTGTCCCTAGCATCCTCCTCGGTCACACAAACTCTCTGCCTGTCCTCCTCTACATTCATGAAGCTTTCTCTTTTCCTCCTGCCTGGCAGTTTTATATTTAATATCTTTTGCCCAGAATATTCACTATCCCTCCTCTGCACATGTCCAAACCATCTCAGCCTTGCCATGAAGGTTTTAAATAGTCATTTTATAGGTGGACATAAATCAGTTTTGATGCTGCATCCTGTTTTTGTACCAAACCACATTATGTGACCTATGATATGAGCTGTTTTGTCTTTTTTCTCATTTTCCCAATATCAGTGCAACAACCCGATGACCAAAGAGCCCAAGCTGCAGGCTGCAGTGAGGATCGTGGCAGAGTGGACCGACTACGACCAGGAGATCAAACGCCTGCAGGCCAGAATCCAAGACAGAGCGAACCACATGGCGAAGCAGCAGGACACAGGTGCGCCTCGCTCGCAGAAACCGATGCGCGCAGCTTTCCGCATTAATCACTCAGACTAACGTCTCTCTCCTCTGTCCTCTGCCAGATGCTCACACGGAGCTGTGAGGCGCTCGCTACGATGAGGCGCTGAACTGGACTCTGTTTAAAGAGTCTGCTTCAGAACGACGCTCCTCTCCTGCCTCGGGGACTGCTGACAGACTGACCGACTGGTTGAAACAATGTCCAGTTTTTTGTTCTTTTATAGGTTTCGGTGACTGTGTGGGTGCAAACTGTGAGGATGTGTTTTGTGAAGCGAATCGTGCATTTTTTTTTCTCCCTGTAGTTGATGTCAGTCTGTTTGCACTGATTGGGATTCTGGTTCTGGCTTTTGTAGAAGCACAAAGGGAGGAGGACTTCAGAGAATGGTATTGCTGGTTCATTTTGGTGTTTATTTGCTGTATGTCAAACATCTGGTGCTGGGAACACTTTGCATTCGCTCATTTGAAGCTGTTTGGTTTTTCTCTGGATTGCATAAAGATACAAGTTCACGTGAAGGCTGTGATTTTAAAGAAAACAAGGAGAAGCACTGTAAACTCTCACCCACAGGTGTTTGACCTGAAAATGAACATCAAAATCAGTAGGATTGTTGTCACTGTGACTCTCAGGTACAGATGTTGCAGCATAAAGTCAGAAGCTGATCAAAGTTATACTCTAAAGGGAAGAGGAGCCTTAAAAATTTGGCTTAAAGCAAAAGTGATTTCTGTTCTTTGGTAACATTGATGGATTTGTCATCTTCATCTTGTTTCGGCTGTCAGATATTTTTGTTAAATAAACTCCGATTAATGGGTGGTCCAGTGTATTTTTGTTTACATGTGATTACTTGAACAATATTCTGCTTTAACTATTTACGTCCTGTGCAGATTCTCCTAATCCTGGTGAGAAAGCTAGTTAGCAGCCAGATAAGTACACTGCTGAAAAAGGAAACATTGGATCACATGATAACAGCAAGTCCGTTAAACTTCAGGGATATCATTCTGTCCTGGTAGGAAGCATGAACCACTGTGAGTCCAGATCACCTGCTCTGGTGCAAATCACAGTGACATCAGAGGCAACAACCAGACAGCCCTCGTGACTGCTTTTTCTCTAGTTTTGGTTTTTGCCTAGTGTCCTTGTCACATCTGGCAGCATGAGGCAGTACCTGCAGCCCATGCTTGCTGTCAAAAGAAGCTTTGCTGTGTCTCCCAGCACAGCCTCAAGACTGTGGAGGAGCTGCAAGGAGGAACAGGAGAGTAGCCAGAGCCCTACAACATGACCTCCAGCAAGGTATTCATGTGCAGGCTGTCTGAATCAGAGTCCACGAGGGTGGTGTGAGGACCTGACGTCCCTTTGTGGGACCTTTTCACCCCAGCACTGCGCAGCTTGACAGAACACCAGAACTGGCCGGTCTGACGCTGGGACTCCGTTCTCCCATGTGGAGAGCAGATTCACTCTGAGCCTGAAAGAGTGTGGAGAAGCTGGGCAAATGTTTCACTGCTTCCAACATCATCCAGCATGACAGGTTTGGCAGTGGGTCAGTGGTGATCTGGGGGATTCATATCCTTCAGTCACACAGACCTCCACAGGCTGCGCTGGCGTTACCAGGATGGCATCATCAGACTGATTATGCAGGCCAATGGCTAGACTGTGTAGGTAGTTCCTGGATGACAAAGTAGTGATGTCACTTCCTTGCACCAATCTGAATCCACATGAGAAACCAGCCTTTCTGAAAAACACCTAGGATTATCAAATTTATCTCTTAGGTGCATTTACTGTGAGAATAAAGTTTCCACTGTGATTATGTCACAGCTAGAAGTGTAATGAAGACAGTATGGATATTAACAGTGTACCTTTTTTGCATATAAGACTGGGTAACGACCCCTCTCACACATGTAGCATGTCGTGATGGTTCTTGTTCTCACATTATGCACAGCTGAGTTTCTTAAAAACAGATCTGATGGCAACATCTGGATCTGCCACAATGCCTGTTTAATATTACAGATCTACTTTTTCCAGAGCAGCGATTCATACTGTGATCTCGTTGCACATCACTGCTGGTCTCTTCCTTTCCCCCGTTGTTTACTGTCATCTTACCTCTACCAACCATCAGCATCTGCATACTCTCTAAAGCGTAACTCTCTTGGTGCAGGGTGTCCCATTTCTGCCCCCGACACACAAAACCTGTTACTGGAAGGTTTCAGACTTTTATTGTGATCCATTTGAAAAAAGGTTTTACAAAAAGGTAACATTCAATTTTTACACCAATTCTTTAAAAAAAAAAAAAAAAAAATCACTTAAAATAAGGTTTTGATACAACAAAATTCAGTTAACTAATGGCTTCTATGAACAATGTGAAAATAAGATAATATACATGTAAATGAATGCTACAAAGATGAGGACAAACAAAGGGATTACATCAATTAAAATAAAAAATAAAAACAAACAATGGCATTGATTGTTTTGCTTTTTCACTTGAGTGACATCTGGCCAGAATTACCAACAGAGCGGTTATTGCAAAACGAATCCCACAGCGTGTGGCGTGCAACTGGAATGTGATGACACAAAAAGAAGCAGGAAAAGCAAAAAGTAGAACCGCCTTTAATGAGGCCGATTTGATGCATCTGTTTTCTTCACATGGCAACACTGGTGTGTGCAGACTCCTCCTGCAGCCAACAAATAACCCAGAACGCTTTAAAACCTATGATTCCCATCATCGTGTGGCTTCAACATAGACGACACCCAGACCAGCAAAGAGACGTGGAGAACTGAAACATAACGAGAATTAACCCCCCCCCCAAAAAAGGAAAAAAAAGGATGTGGTGTTTCTTTAAATGTTGACAAGCACAGCGGACGGCGTGCTCATGAAAACAGATGCTGAAAGAAGTTGCTTGCATTTGTTTCCCCCTCCCCTCCCCTCGTCCTTGAGGCAAAAATGCAAACTTCAAACCGGTTAATGGTGGCACTGTCATCTTAACCTGACCAGCCAGCTGCGCCCGTGCTCTGCGTCGAGCAGCGCGCGGCGTGACATCAGCACCGCTGCCCTGACTGGGCTGGAAAATAACCTGATTTGCCATCTTACTAAAGTCTGTAACGCCAAACGCGAAGCCCCTGTGAGCAGCTGGTTCCCTTTAGCACGACGACAGTGAAGGGAGGGGGGTGGTACCAGACTGCTGGATTTTTTTCACTCTCAAGAAAAAAGCGAATCAGCACATTTCCAAAAAACATTTAAAAACTACTTTTAAAAAAACAAAACAAAAAGAACAAATCAAGGCAGCGGTGTGGACGCCGCGCCGCTTCAAACAGGGCGCTCAGATTTGTCACGACTCTCCCCGAGAGTTTCCACGGCTTCCTTTTCCCTCGGTCCGATTTCACAAACACATTTACCCCCATTACAGTTACATCATCTGCAAAGCTTTTTCTTTAAAAACAAACAAAAAACCAACATGCACCTCCAGCATTTTATACAAGAGTATAATACAAAATAAGGCATTTCATCGTGTTGAGTATTCATGTCATGTTTTGAGTGTTAATGTGTGTTTTCGTGTGTGTGTGTGTGTGTGTGTGTGAGCGTGTGTACATAGCAAACACATTTTAATGTTATTTCTTTTTGCCCGCCTATAAAAAGACTGCAAAAAACAAACATAAAGTCAAGATAACTCTTACTTAAAATATATATATTTGTCATATACATTTAGGTATATATTCATATGTAAAAAAACAAAACAAGGAAAAAAAAAGGGGGGGGGAAGAGGGGAAGAGAAAAGCCCAAGAGGTCCCTTTTGATAGGCCAGTTCTCAAAAAGCCACCTCACCACATCAACCCCCACCCACCCCCTCATTCCATGACCTCGCTGGGCGCCACTGTGACCAGCTGCAAGGGGATCTCCTGATTGGCTACAAGGTCGTGCGCGTTGGTGGCCTGGAGGATGAGCGTTGTTCCGTCCGTGTTGATGATGGCGTCGGAGGTGGGCGGAGACGTGGAGGGGGGCACCCCGCCTTTTTTATTCTGGTGAGTCTTTATGTGCTTGGCCAGGTGGTCGCTCCGCATGAACCTCTTGGAGCACTCTGAGCACACAAACTTCTTCTCCCCTGCAGGGTCCAACAAGCACACATCAGTGGCGACGCACATTTTTGTCTGCAACTAACTGAACTGGAGCATTTGGAGACTTTGTCGCTTGTTTCTAGCATCAGATCCTTCACTTAGCAGTGGGGACGGCTCCCTCGAGCCTACTCAGGACCCCATTTTAAGCATTTCCTTTCCAAAACCCTCTTCTTAGTGTAACTGTTAAATAGTTTTCAGCATCACATTAATTTAGAGTCATAACATTTCAGGGCCTTTACCTCACAATATAAAGCATGTTGACATGAATCTTGATTTTGAGCAAATAAAAGAAAGAAAAACATCCCTACAGCATGATGATGACGACGCTGCACACTGGACAATAGAGATGCCGTTAATGAGTTGCCTTTCCTCACTAAGATGCTACAGAGCAACTTTATTGCAACGCGACTTGATTTGCAGCCCTTGTCGAGGTCATGTGACCTTTCCTCTCTTCCATACATCGTAAAAAATATGTGATGTTGAAACCATAAATCTCTAATCTGATTCTACGCTGAACTTCCATCTCCTCAAAGGAAGTGTGGATCTCACTCATCGTGACCACTGGATTCTTGGAGTCACGTGAGCAAGAGCCTTCATCGCCATCTACTCAGATTCACGACATCACCTGGTTGATCAGGTGACCATATGACCCAAGACTCAATGCAAAATCTGGGATCAGATCCTAAACTTTGGTTTCCTCCCTCACCGACTTAGAGGGTTTTCAAAATAAAAGCCAAAAAGGAACCCAAAGGCTTTACCAAGATAGCGAGACTGAGCAGCTACACCTCTACATTAATACTGCTGGAAGACTGTTGATGGATCTAATGATTTATTAATGACAGACGATCACATATTGCATCATTGTGATAGAAATGTGATCGCAGTAATGGGGTCGGATTTCTAAAGAAATCAGAGCCTGACTCTAGTTGTCGTTTAACCCAAAGTATTAATTAAGGACAAGCACACATCACAAGTTTGTCATCACAGCCCCCGACTACATCTCAGGCTTTATCACAGCAACGGCAGCCTCGTTAAAATGATTTAATAAAAATGCTTCGTGCTGAGTTGATATTATCTGCTACTTAACTGCTCAGATGAACAATGATGTAATTTCAAGTGTTTATTAGCTGATTCAATTCATTTCAACTACAAATAAAATAAAACTGATATCGCTGATGATCTGCTGTGAAGTGTCGGTTTCTCACTTTTTTCTTCGTGTTTCACACGTCTTTGCTGAACATTGCGTGATCGCAAACCAAAGCTCTGGACAGCAGCAGCAGCAGACATGAAAACATTTTGTAACTGTAACATTGTAACGGCAACGCGATCCCCACATGAGCTCCGACCATAAAACTGTTACTTTGTTGTTATTCTTTTATTTTTTTTCCAATTTCAAAACAAAAAGCGTGTCGACAGGTGATCTCACCTGTGTGCGTCCTCCTGTGTCTCTGCAGCTCGTCGCTCCTGGTGAATCTCTTCCCACAGAACATCCAGTTGCAGACGAAGGGTCTCTCGCCGCTGTGCCAGCGCAGGTGAGCTCGGAGGTGGGATGTCTTCCCGTAAACCTTGCCGCAACCGGCGATGTGGCAGATGTGCTGCTTCTTCTTCCCCATACCTGAACCCCTGTGGAAACGAGGGAGAGTGAAGAAAAGAGGGATCAGGGAAGTGAAGTGCTTCCATTTTCCAAACTTTGCATTTACTAGTGTTTCCTTTTTTGTTCTGCTGGTCAAAGGTGAGCTCAGCACCTACACCTCCTGTTATCCATGGCGTGTGTGTGTGTGTTCTCAGAGGCCCACCTTCCTCCAGACTCTTTGCAGTTGGGGCAGGTGCAGGCGACTCTGCGGAGCCTTTTGCCCTCCCCGCTCGGCGTCTCCATGTCCTCGTCTCCCATCTGAACACGCAGGTTGTTCAAGTCGCTGGGGTTCAACGTGGAATCCCCGCTCAGCTGCCACTCCTCAGAGTCTGGCTCTTCCTTTATATGGATACCTGAGCAGAGGAAAAGAGAATGAAAGAGGGAGATTTAAGAAACTGTAAGGGATTAACTAAATGAATGAAATGAGGAGTGATAATGCGTGGCTGTACCTGCTGGACTGTTTGCATCCTCTCCCTGTGAGTACTGGACCCCAGTTTGTGTTACAGAGTTAACTGTGACTGTTTGGAGGTTGGGCAGGCTGACCTGGCCTGACTGGCCCAGGGGAAGGGTCTGGACTGGGGCTAAAGTCAACTGTTGGGCCTGGCCCTGACCCTGGGGCAGCTGAAGTCCTTGGAGTGACTGGACACCCTGAACCTAAGAGAGAAAGCAGATGTTTTTGGGAATCTTATGGCAAAGCAAGCTCACCTGAAAGAGCAAAACAGCCCCTTGAACTTACCTGGAAGGTCTGCCACTGGATCTGTCCAGTAGCAGTGACAGTTTGGGCCTGGATGAGAAAGGTCCCAGGGTTGACCAGCTGCACGCTCTGTAGAGTCTGACCTGCTCCTGCAGTCAGGTCCTGACCCTGAGCCACCTGGGCTACCTGGGCCTGACTGTCCCCAGACAGCTGCAAGATGGGCTGTGAGATAGTGGTGGCATTGGAGGATGACACCTGCAGGAATAAATTACACTTTTAAACAAGGGCCAAAAAAGTAGAATTCATATGTTTCCCTTTTTCTTTTTCTTTTTTTTGGAATGCAGTACTTTCTGCAGCGGAGAAACTGCACATTACCGCTTTATGTAAAGGCCCAAATAACACAAGTGCATGAAAAAAATTAACCAAACCTATTATCAGCAGTGCACTTTTAGGCCCTTTTGCTTTGTATCATGTGCAGATGCCTTCTTGTCAATCACATCTACTAGAAATTATCCCCCCAAAATTGTAAAAAGACAGATGTGAGATGCACTGCAGCGCTCTGATCTAAAGAAGAACTGATGAAAGTACACAAAGCTACATTTTTATGGCCTGACAAACCAAAGAACTGCATTTTTCGAGTGAAAAGAAAGTGGACATCAGCAACAGACTGAGAGGAACCATCAGCAGGAAGAACAGGAAAAGTGTGATCAGTATGTGTCAGTGTGCAGTGATTTAAAAAACAATTTCCAAATATGAGTTGAGGCCACAATATTTTTGTGAATGCATTTGTGTTGCAGTTGGATGTTGATTATTCAGACAGCTGTGAGTAACAGTTTCATAAGTCCTTTAGTTGACTGCTAGCATGACACGCTGTGCTGAAATAATAGAGACATTGTGCAATCAAATGACTTTAGCCAGCTACATCATTTTAACATGATTTCAGCCCTCAGTCGAGCCCAGGTTCTTGGTGCATTTCCATAGGAACCACCAGGTGGTCTTGGCCAAAATATGTTCTGCGATACACATCAGTCACAGTAAAAACTTCAACAAACATAAAGAGGAGTTTGTAAACTTTAAATGCACACCTTAAAGCAGTGCCTCACAGACATTATTGGCCTTGGGGTGATTAGAGGAATCTGCTTAACCCCTCATTACTTGGGCTGGGTGTCATTTTTCACATTCTGTTGCCAGTAACGACAAAGTTATTAAATTGTGTTTACTTTACAGGTTATTATTATTACTATTATTATAGATTTTCTTTAGTATCTTTTTCATTAACAAATGTTTTCTAAGTGTTGTGGGGTTGTTGTGCAAAACCTTCCCATTAAACTGGCAACAGTATGACTAAAGCTGGGAATCTGTCAACTCTTGCAACAAATAAGTCTTCAGGAATGACGATATTCCAGGACCTATTGTCCCCACTTATGGCTTTAGTGCAGACCAAAAACTTTTCCTTTTGAGATTGCTTCATTTTATTAAATTGCTCACTTATAATTTAAATTGTAATCAAATGTCTCCAGAGACCATTGGGCATGACACACATTCACATGACATGCTGCTAAAGCCACACACGCTGACCTGGATTTGCTGCAGGTGGTTGTGGGAGTTGTAGTTCTCCGAGGACGACAGATCAGACACGCCTGCGGACACGGCAGTCGCCTGGGTGAGAACTCCTGTGCCGTCGATGGTCTCAGGAAGCTGGGCGGAGTTGGAAGAGGAAGTGGTTGTTGGCACGTAGAGCTCTTGGTTGGCGCTCGGGTCACTCACAGTGACCAGCGACTGTTTGGCTCCGGTGTCCTGGTTCTGGGTGTCGAGAGCCTGGCCGCTCATTATCAACTGGCCTTCAGGTGTGACTCCTGTTGCGATGGGGACCGTCTGAGCTCCGGTCAGCCCCAGCGACTCCAGATCCACACTGTTTATAGGGACGAATGTTATGTTGCCAGGAAGCCCTACAGGCATGGTGCCCGTGTACGCCGAACCTCCAGCTAGCGAAACGCCTTGGATCGACTGAACCTGCCCCGCCTGTGTCAAGAGATCTGTGGTTGCCGTCGTGGCACAGCTGATTCCAATGCTGCCCTGGCTGCCATCTTGGAGTAGCTGAATCTGCCCCGTACCGTCATCCAAACCCTGCGTGGGGAATCCTGCAATTGTCCCATCTGCATTTTGGATTTGAGGGATGACCTGAAAGACAGAGGGGGGGGGGGCAGCTTTGAGCATGCTGATCACCTATGCTGGAGTGCTCTGATCTATATGTTTTTCTTTGTTCATCTTTTTTTTACCTGATACTGAATGCCCGACACTCCATTTGCTGCAGCCTCACTCCCGGTTGCTGTAACATATATGGGCTGGCTGGGAATACTCCCAATAGGAAGCACATACTGCCCGTTGGACGTGATAATCCCCGAGTTTGGAATGTGAACGACTCCCTGGTCTTCCTTCCCAGCCGATACGGGAGTCAACACCTCCCATCGATCTGAGCCCGTCAGCTGAATGGCTGACATATCTGTCGTCTGGGAGCACAATCAAAAGTCACATTAACAGGGACAGATCACACTTCCAACAGGGAGACAGTGACTCCTCTCAGCTTCAGATTAGATCACAGTCTGGCTATTGTCTACCAATCAGGTTTGGATTCAGAAACTGTGCAGATGCACGAAAGGAACAAGTGGAACACGGGCAGGAGTAGATCATGCAGCATTTAAAGTCACAAGAAAGATGTGAGCACTACCAGCACACATACACATATACAGAGTGAAGATAGCAGGCTCAGATACAGCCGAGAGCAGGGTGTGGGGGATGGGTGGCCATTACAACACAACTCCAAGCTACTGTTTTGATTATGGACGCTATCCGTGCTACATTATCCCACCCCTGCATCCTTCGAGCCCAAGGTACACCGGCTATCTTCCAGCGAGCCGACCCAAGTGACTGACTTCAGTGTCCTACCCACTATGGGCGGGTTTTACAGGGGTAAAGTGGGTGGCCGTTATTGAGGGGAACACAGGAAGTGTACGGCTTTCTCCCCATGCCATCAAAATGTTAAAACCTGTGAACTTCATGCTCCCAAAACAAAACACAACCGAGAAATCGAAAGCGAGCGAGAAAGACGAGCTAGAAAATGTCGGATACCTGTGTTTCCGCGGCGCCGCCGGGTTGCAGAAACTCGCTTTGACTGCTGTCCACGTCCGCGGACGCCATTTCTCCTTGTTTCAGAGGCTGCTCTGGCGCTAGCAGGGAGAGAGGGGGAAACTCAGCAAAACTCTGTAATCTTCAACTCCTGCCTGCCAGAAAAGCCCGCAAAGCATCCCCACTCTCCGGTCCCAAAAGGAGCCGACTGCGAAATTCTACTTTGCAGCGGAGGTTCTGAAGAAATTTGGGGGGCCGAGCTCGACTGTTTACTTTGTCAACTCCGTGGCTAGCCAGCTAGCTCAGTCAGCTAACCATATCGAGCTCGTTAGCAGCAGAGCTAAAGATAAAAAGACGTAGCTCGCTCGGCTCCAGCTCTCACAAACTCACCGATTAGCTGCACGCTTCGATGTGCTGAACGTTTACGTACCAGTCATAGCGTGAGTGGTAGTAACCCGGGGGATTATCGGATCAACTAAACTCCGAACATGATTATTTTATCAAAGGCGGGCCAGTGTTGATCGGCGAATTCGGGTCGATTTTTTTTCTATTTTGATTGACGGTGCGGGAAACACAAAAAGGTGGGACTAACAAGCTTGACCGTCGAATTTGCATCACATTACAGGACGTTCCGCCCTTCTTCTCTACGTCGATTGGCTGAGCGAAGGTTGTGGTGGAACGTCATTGGTTAAAATCGGGCGCCAGTCATTTTTTTGTAGGACGAGTGTTTCCTGTTTGTTGAAGGAGACAAGAGAAGGAATGCAGTTGTTGAAATTTAAACAGGGCTTAGTTTGAATACGGAGACGCTCCAGTACAAAAAAAAAAAAAGTTATTTATTTATTTTGTATTGCTTTATCTCTTTTGATTTGCTTTCGCTTTAAAGCCGTAGACGTTTGCGATACGAGGGGATTTTTTAAAATAAGTTCAAACTACTTATGTTCACTGCAAACGTCATTTAACCTCCATAATTACAACCAGGCAGCTTCACGTGTTATTACAGCTTCACACCGAGAGCCAGCTCGTTGTAATAGTTAATTCCACATCCCAAATGCCACATAATTAAAGAAAGCAGTGCTATCAAACATCGGGAGCTCTTTAATTCACTTAATTCGAGATTAAAACGTCCAAATGTTTCAACCACTGCAGATCTGTTTGTCTTTTGAGTTTATAAACCCATAAAAATATGTTAAAATAAACGTTTAAAAATTAAAATTCGTTCTATAATAATAATAAATTTTATTTATGAGCGCCTTTCAAGTCACCCAAGGACACTTTACAATAGGATAAAACACTTAGTAAAACAATGGCAGAATAAGAACAATAAAATAAAAGCACAAGATAAAATGAACAAACAGTGGATTCACAGTGAATATGCAGATTTGAACAGATGAGTTTTGAGTTGGGATTTAAACTGGAGGAGAGAACCAATATTTCTTATTTCTGGGGGCAGAGAGTTCCACAGCCTGGGAGCAGAGCAGCTGAAAGCTCCCCTTCCCATGGTGGTGAGGCGGAAGGAAGGTACAGTAAGCTGGATAGAAGAAGAACGAAGTGAACGGGCAGAACAAGTGGTGGTTAACAGGTCAGAAAAGTAAGAAGGAGCGAGGTTATGAATGGCCTTGAAGGTGAGCAGATTATTTGTTCTGGCTAAATTTCATGTGCGGGTCCACGATGAAAGCTTATCCATATATGAAAATAGGTTAAAAACATTTTTATAACCACCAACTTTGAATTAAGCTGCCACATGACTGTATCACTTAGTGCATGAAGCCCAGTGAAGTAATAAGACCGACCTCCAGAGTGTGTGAAAAGTACAGCAAAGCAGTCTTTCGTGACCGTGTAAAAGTATACAACTGCTCTGGTAGCGTCCTTAGACACTTTGTTACTAGCAGGACAAAAAAAGAAGTGTCAAAGAACAGAGAGATAAGCCACCATTGTTCAATGAAGCTTCATCAGAAATGGTCTCAGTGGAAGGTTGACTATGAAGAAACCACTGTGTAGGAGGAGAAATGGTGAGAAAAGGTTGAGGTATACCAAATTACACAAAGACTGAAAATAAAATCAGTGGCAACAGGCCTTATGGAGCGATGAATTCGTATTTGACATTTTTGGTAATATGTTTTTGTTTTTCAATATGTACAAAGGTAAGGAGAGAGGTACAGCAGTGTCTACAGCCAGAATAATCCCAAACACACTGCCAATGTAGTAAAAGCAAATCTGGATAGAAAAACACAGTGGAACACCAACAGTCATCGATCGACCTCCTCAAGGCCTGGACCTGATTTTGATCTGAAATGGACCCAAACATCCAAAGAGCTTTTTTTCCTTATATATACTGCATTGCCACAAACAACTGTACATGTTTCACAAATAATTTCAATAGATGCTGCAACTTTTTCCTATCAAAATATAAAGAGATGAGAGTAGCTTGGGACGACGATCTGTTTTGCCTGGAATGAAAGAAAATAAACATACAAAACCGTAACAGGTTTATCTCCTTTTATTGACACATGCATATTGATGAGGGTGATACTTATTGTACACTGGTTTCCATAGGTCAGAAAGATTTCTATTTTAGTCCACAGTGTGGCAGCATGTTTATGAAAATGAGCATAGTTTGTGGGCAGTGAGAGAGGTGAAACATGATGCGATTTAAAGCTGTACAGTCCAAATGATCCACAATGGTGCATTCTCTCGTTATGCGGGGCAGACTCCTTTACGTCAGGAGTGTAAATCAATAAAAGCAGCTCTCTCTTCAGGAATCTGATGAGGCACTGCCACCGAGGTCCCCGTTCCTCTTTCTAAAATAATATCCCTCATGTTATCAGCACAATACAGTTCAGCCCCACCCTCAATGAAACACCGACCGATGGCTTTCGTTCTCCCAAGAAGAAATGATGATTGATTTTTGGACACAATATATTTTAGCACCTTTTAAATTTAATAGAACTGTGCTGCTCTTTTTAAATTTTAAGGGATGACATCTAAAACTAATTCACCTGCAGCACATTGTTGCTTTATGCAATTATGAGTATTTTTATGATAGAACAGCCATGCCTGCCCTTACTAATGCACCAAACAACAGGCTCATTAGAATGTGAAAGCTTACAGATTAATCAGCTGTAGCCATGACTGCAATTCATGAAGAGAGAAAAGATGAGCTGCTCGGAGCAATAAAACACTTAAGTCTTAAAAAAAATCCAAAACAGAAACCTGTCTCAAAAGAAGTCTGAGCTTTTCTTTAAATTAAATTATCAAAAAACAGTCTTTTATGTGTTAAAAACACATGAACAACTAAAGCATTGTTACCAAAAACTGATTCGAACAGCTGAAGCCATCAGAATCAAAAAAGAAGTATGAAAACCAGCAGACAGTGTGCTCTGTGGGACTAAACTGTATTCTGAGTTTTGATTCCCCCAACCCAGTGACTCTGTGGTCTTATTTCTTTTTGGGTGCATTGGGTGTGTTGAATTTGAAAAAGATAATGTCCCCGTCCTCCACAATGTAGTTCCTGCCCTGTTGCCTGTACTTCCCAGCAGCCTGAGAGAGAAAGAAACAAGGGAAAAAAATTATAGTTGATATATTCCAGAACAGTTATTGATGGAAATTCAGCACATGCAGCAACTCAGGAATAATTGGGCTGGGGAAAAACAAACAAACAAACAAACAAACAAACAAAAACACCCAAAACAAAACAAAAGCTCACACCTTGGCTGCAGTTTCACTGCCCTCTTCTTTGAAGTCTGTGAACTTCATCACCTCGGCCATGATGAAGCCTTTCTCAAAGTCAGTATGGATCTTTCCAGCAGCCTGAGGAGCTTTTGTACCTTTCTGTGGGACCAAAGCACAACAGGACATGTTATAAATAAAATATGTATTTATTAAATGCATCACATTTAAGAAATTCTGCAAAAGTAACAATCTGCGCTCCTGATATCATCACAAAATGATGACAACTGTCAAAAATTTACTTCAGGGCTCTGTTTTGAACAAAGAAACAATAAAATTTCTATCAGTATTCAATTATAGAACTGTTGAAGACACCAAATGGCAAAAGCCAAAGTAATATAATATCACATATATTTAAAAATCTATGTCAGATGTTTCCATCACTCAGTTTGACAAGTCAGATCTTCACTGACTACTTAAATATAATAACGGAAAACAAAAGTGAAGCTGGTTGTCAGAAAAAAAATAACAAAAATGACGCAAAATGTTGGAATTGTAATACAAGCCAACATTCTAATCACAAATTAGGGGAAAAAACACAACATTGGAAAATTAAGCTTTCCAAAATATTCTTTGAATAAATTATTTTTTAAACTCAGTGAAGATCTCTAAAATTCAAAACTATCAGAGTGGTTTATCTTCAATCACAAGAGTTAATTATGTATTTTTAAAAAGGTTACACACACACACACGTCAAAACACTCACCCTGATGGTCCACGCTCGCACCTCATCTGGTCCTGCTGTGAAGAAGTATTCCAGCTGCAGCGCTGCATAGCCGGTCTTTATTATTTTGGTCAAAACACTAGAAACACACAAACAAAACAAAACAAAAAATGGTTTGCAAATTCAATTTTTGCACAGGGTACGGACGTTTCAAAGCACATTAGTAAATAAGGACCAGTGCAAACTTTAATTAATTACTCAGTACTCAGTATTAAGTTGCCTGCAGCCATTTAATATCATTACAGCAGAAAGGTGCAACTACAAAGAGTGATTAAAGGGTTAGTGAGCCATGAACTTAAAATCAAAGTTTTTAGTGTTGTTCAGTTTAAAGTCACCTCAAAGTGCCATGTCTTCCCCAATTATTCCTCTGATTGCAATACAGAGTTTGCCTAAATAAAACTGTTTTATGCATGCAACGTGTTGAGCCGTTCCTTACTACTACCCATGAATTAACCCTGCTGTGAAAGTTACAGCAGCACAAATTGTGCATTGCATTCTCACTGAATGTGCATGTATTCAGGGAGCAATGCATTTAAAGGCATCTACACATTTCTTCTGCCCTGCTGGAATTGCACCTACAATACCAGAGACTGCTTGCTTCACAGTACACCCATAAAGAAAGTACCCTTCAAGTTTAGCATGATATTAACAACTTAAAGACTAATGACCAAATACCTCTGTGTCTTCTGTTCCTCGCAGTATTTATTCCTCTCCTCCTCCTCCATGTCCTGCAATTTAAACTCCAAAGCTCCACTTAAAGGAATGACCATAGCGCCAGGATCATGAGCATCTACCCACTCCTTGATTTTTGCCAACCTGATGAACAACAGGCCGCAGGATGAGTTATTTCAAATGGCAAAGAAATGCGATGACGGTAAGATTAATATATGCGACATGTAGACACGCAGGGTGAAAGCAAACATACCACTTGTTCTTTTTCCTGATGTAATCTTTCTCTGAAAGATTAACCAGGTAGATCATGGGTTTGGAAGTCAGAAACAGGTACTTGTTCAGAACTTCAATCTGTGAAGAGTTAGAGATGAAGTTCTTTATGAAAAAGCCGTTTCGAATAGGGTCTAAGGGAGAAAAACTGTTTACACTGGAACACATCAGTACCTCTTTGTCATTCCAGTCATGGTAAAATCTGATGTGCTTCT